CCCCCCCCAACCCCGCCAGCCCTGGGTAAGGGCAGGAGCTGGTGACCCCATTAGGGGCCTCCCACGGACCTCTCCCGAATGCAGGCCCCCCGAGCCTCAGCTCTCCCCCGACTGTGAGCAGGGTGTGCCCTCTTCTCTACTGGCTTCCACCTCAGGCCCAGCGCAGCAGCCCCATGGCAAGCAGGGCCTGCGCTCCTGGGCAGCCAGAACGTGTCGGTGTGAGGCCCTGTGGCAGGGAGGAGGGGGGTGAGCGGCAGCCCGGCTCTGCTACTCTGCACAGGCACCCCCTGGCCCGCTTCTGGCTGGGCCCCTGGCTCCAGAGCTGCCCAGTCCCCACCAGGGCGACGAGCGGATGACGGGTGGTCTGTGAAGAGGGAAGTCTGCAGAGAACCACCCAATGCTTCCCCCACGGCCTGGAGGGGCTCAGCTTCTGGCTCCCAACCTCTCTCCTTCCCCTCAGAGGTCTGGGAACCACTCCAAAGTAAAGCAGACACCCATGCCTGCTCCTGCCCCTGGGGACAGCAGGGGATCGTGGCAGAAAAGCTGGCTTGGGCCCACAGACCTCTCCTGCTCCAAGCACTTCCCTTGCTTTCCTGACATCCGCTTGGCACCAGGGACCCGCCCTCCCCACTGACTCCTGGGCCCTCCCTGTAGCCTCTAGGCACGCGTGCAGCTGAGTGGAGTCTGCCTGTGGTGGGGTGACTGCAGGTGGTGGTCCTGGCTGCCAGGGAGGGCAGGAGAGATCTGGAGTCAGCCCCACTGCAGGGCTTGGGGGGTCAGCCTCAACCAATCTCCTTCCACTGCTTGTAGAAGTCCAGAATGTTCTTGACGTCCACACTGGCATGGGCAGCAGCCTGCAGGGCTGCCTATTGAACAGAGGGAGGCGACACAGGGAACCTGGTGTCAGAGGGCTGGCGGGCAGTAAAGGAAGGGGAAAGGAGGCTGTGTGAAGGACCCACCTGCATGGGGCCGGAGAGTGTGTTGGGGTTGTCCAGCGAGAGGCCTGTGACAATGGTCACCATACCACTCGGGTCCTCTTCGCCGGCGCCCTGGGCCAGGGTGAGCTGTTTGCAGCTGTCCAGGATCTTATAGAGAGTCCTAGGGAGGGCCGGGCCCAGGCCAGCATCAGTACAGCCCGAGCACCAGGTGCTACAAGGCCAGGGGCAGGGGCCTGGGAGCCAGCCCAGAGGCTGTGCTGCAGGCAGAGGTCCCAGGGGCCGCGATAAGGCTGAGCAGGGACCTGGGCGGGTCGTGCCGCCTGTGCAGATCTCTGGCCCCGGCCTCTGTTCCCATGCAGTACCTGAGCCCCCAGGGAGGGAGAGTGAAATTTACCAGGCATCTGTATCCTGCCTCTTCAGCTTATGCCGCTCAAAGCTCTTTCCCACCTCTTTCTGGCAGCGAATGTACCTGCAAAGGAGAAGTGAGCATGGAGGTGAGGGCCCAAGGACGGGGACGCCACACAAAGCAGTCATTGTGGCTCTGGGGGCCCAGGTTGGCAGGAGGGGTGAGGGCTGTCTCCCATCAGAGTCTGTGTGGAGCCACTGAAGTGGCACCCTGGCGGAGGGCCCCTGCTCTGCTTGCTCCCCCTGATAGCATCGCTACTCCGGTTCCTCCGGGGGGAGGCGGCAGATGCTTTCAAGTCAGGGCTGCTGGAGACCGGGGCCCAACAAGCAGGCTTTGTGCGGCTCCCTGCGCAGACACGCAGCTGCACGGGGCTCTTCGAGCGATCGGGCAAGCAGGCCAGCCAGCAGGAAGGGCGGTGTGGGGGTCTGAGCCCTGACTCAGCTTCGTGAGGGGTGAAGGCTGCCCATCCTGGGGGACCTGAACGCCTGACCCAGCCTAAAGTAGGAGGCACCCCTCCTGAAGAGCCCACAGCTTGCACTTGGTGGGGGGTTCTGTTCTCTCTGGGGATGTTGGTCACAGGGCTCCTCTGATCTCCCCCTCCATCAGCACCCGGCTGGACTTCTCAGGAGCCCGTGGTCTCCGTCCCTGCCAGCAAGGGTGGCTCCAGCCCAGCTGTCTTCCTGCCAGGCACACAACACTGGTCCAGCCAGCTTACTTACCTGTTTCCTTTCTTAAACTCTGCCTCCAGGTAGCGGATGCCGTCCCGGGCCCCCAGGTGTTCCTTCTTCAGCAGATCCAGGCCATCGATCACTGGTGGACAAGGACAAGACCGGTGAGGTCCAGCCGCCGCACAGGGCTTCCGAGCACAGCCTCTGCCAGTGCAGCCGGGCCATTCACCCAGCGCTCACTTCCGATTTCTCTTCTGTCCCTCCCAACAGCCGAAGTGACCGCGGTCCAGAGGGGCCATGGGGCTTGACCACGGCACGTGTGTCAACTGGGCCCCAAGCCCAGCGTCTCCCATGGCCACGCCCTACCCGTCCCTCACCTCCCAGAGACTTACCGGTCCTTGGGATGATGATAATGAAGCGGCCACTGGTGGCCAGTTGGCGGATGACCGGAAGGTGATGGCAGAGGGCCTGGGTGTCAGGGACGAGGTAGGGCGACATGGCCGACTGGGCCTTGGGCTGCTGCAGGCTGCCCTCCAGCTGGGAGACCTCAAGCTGGTGAGAGAAGGCAGGTGGTAGCAGTATGGGCCCCGTAGCAGGGCCAGGGAGGAGTGGTGCTTACGGGGTTCTTAGAGGCCACCTCCTCCCACCAAGGAGACAGAGACCTCCTTCTCCCAAAGGTCTTGGGTACAACAGACAGAGAGGGGGGAGAAGAGACACAGTGGTGGCGGCAGCAGCGAGGTTCCAGAAGCAGGGGACAGGGGAGCGCTCTGCGGCCAGGAGGACAATCTGAGAGAAGCAGAGGGCCACAGTGCACAAAGCAGGAGGGCAGCAGCCCAGATCGTCCCAAACTCGCCAGCCCACTGCCCTTCTCAGGAGGGAAGACTTGGCGCCCCCATCGCAGGATGGATGGAGGTGTCTGCTTGTGTGGGGTGCGGTGGCCCTCTTTGGGTGAAACCTAGAGCATGTCGGCCTCCCTCGCTACCTGCAGCCGGAGCTGAGCCATGTCTCTCATCAGTCTGTTCCTCCGAGCTTCTTCCTGGGCCTGTGAGGAGACAACCAGGCATGAGCTTGGGGTGAAAGGTTGAGGGTGTATTTCCCTCACCCAGTGTCCAAGGACTTCCTGGGGTCTGAGACGGGGCCCCTCACAAAGTCCCCTCAGGAGTCAGATAATAGAAATATGGGTGAAGGGAGACAGCAGACGGTGTAAAAGATGAAAGCAAAAATAATTTATAAATGATCCAGGGTTCACGGGGGTGGGAGGGAGGGGAAAAAGAGGAGCTGATACCAAGGGTTCAAGTAGAAAGAAAATGTTTGGGAAATGATACAAGTATGCTTGACACAGCGGACATAAGGGTTGTTAGAAGATCTGTAGGAACCCCCAGTACAATGATTAATAGAGTCCTTGCTCTACCAACTGACCTAAGGGCTCTGCTGCTCAACGCCCCAGGGGGCTGTAGCGATGCAGGGTGTGTCTCCCTGCTGGGCCCTTAGTCCCTACCCCCAGCTTCAACATGGCTCTGTCTCAAGGCCTCTGCTCCTGTCCATTTGCATTCCCTTCCCAGGGGATACCACCCCCACACACCCCTGCATCTCCCACCACCCACTGCTCAGCCCAGACCTGACCACCTCAACTTCAGCCCCCGGTGCTCCAGAGCCAGCCTTTCCCTGCCAGTGTCCCCACCTTTGCAGACCCCTGCCACCTGCTCAAGGCACACTGAGTGGGCTTTTACTCTTCCTCCCTCTCTGCCCCAGAAATCATCTGCTTCCTTTTCCTGCAATGACCCCTCCTCATTATCACTCCAGTCCCCACTGCCGTGAGCCCAGTCTAAGCCAGCCCTGCCCCCACCCCCCAGCCCCGAGGATTCTAACAGCCACCGCCTCCATTTCCACCCCCTGCAACCAAGGCAACCTGTCCAAGGCCGGCCGAGGGCCTGAGAGACAGTCTAAAGGCGCATGCCGGTTCAAGGAAGAGGACACAATCTTGCTGGTCCCGGGGCCACTGAAGAACTAAGCGCACCGCCAGGGGATGTGTTCAGGCCCTCATCTGGAACGCACAGCCCTAATCGGGCACAAGAGGACCCCAGTCCCAGCCAACCGGAGGGACAGTGTGCGACACAAAAAGCTGGTGCCTGGGCAGTACCGTGAACACGCTCCGAAGGCTGGAAGCTCAAGTCAGCCCAGAGAAAGGCCTAGGGATTTGCTTCTCAAAAATCAGCTACACACTTAGGCCGCAGGTGTCTAACTCATTTTTAGGTTTAGTGCCAAAGCTAACATCTTAGTTTGGTTTTCGAGCTACGGTTCCACACTGCCCTGGACACTAAGAACTAGCCTGCCTGACACCAGTGCCTCCTTGGGGAAACACCGGCAGAAGACTACAACTGAGAACAGCCCACTGAGGCCCCGTGGGCAGCCAGGATAAGAAATCCTCCCACCCTCATGCTGCAGAGCAAACCCAGGGTGTGACTTTTAGAGTGAAACTTCCAATGCTGAAACTCCAGGTTTTAGGGCGAACCAGTGCAGGTGAGAGAGATTCTAAGGACAGGCGGGACCTACACGCACCTCAGAGAGGACCCACTGAGAAAGGGAGTTGTGGGTCTCTCTAAAGCAGGCAGGCCCTGGGCCCCAGAGAGTCAGTGTGACACTCCCACTTGGCTAGCAGGGGAGTTATATCCCCCAAGAGCTTGTAAGAGGCAGGACAAGGCACAGGTCCGCTGAGGGCAGAGTTCCTAGGCCTCCTCAGCTGTCAATGAAGCCTGACGGGTGCCAACACCCCTGACACAACACGCTGTTGCGAGGGTTAGAGAAGGCAGAGCAGGGCAAGCTCTGCACCTGCACGAAGCAAGCGCTCACCAATGAGCAGAGGACCAGGGACCAGGCCCTCGGGGCAGGAGCACGTGGGGTGGGAGCAGCAGGAGGCAGCCTGAAGGCCATGTGGCCTGAGTCTGCTTGGCCTGTGCTACCCAGCACCAGGGTACAGGGTCTTCTGTGTGCTCCTGGCCCCCAGGAGGAGTGTCCAGGGGCTTAGGCTAGAGGAAACACCTGCAAAAACGTTCATGTTTTGGATACCGCATAACTTTATGACTTTTGGTTGGACCTTGTGTTTTTCCCAATGGACAGAACAAAAGCCTTCACATAAGATTTAACGGGGTAGAAAGGGAAACCGATCACAAGGATCTACGTATAACCCCCTCCCTGGGGGAATGGACAACAGAAAAGTGGGTGAAGGGAGACGTTGGACAGTGTAAGACATGAAAAAATAATAGTAACTTATAAGTTATCAAGGATTCATGAGGGAGCGGGAGCGGGGAGGGAGGGGAAAACGAGGAGCTGCTACCAAGAGCTCAAGTAGAAAGAAAGGTTTTGAGAATGATGATGGCAACAAATGTACAAATGTGCTTGACTCAATGGATGGATGGATTGTGATGAGTTGTATGAGCCCCAATAAAATGATTTTAAAAGGAAAAAAAAAAGATTTTAACGAAATGTGATTGCTTTTAAGACAGCAAGGAAGGCAGTTTGTGGGGAGCTGCTGACTGTTCCCAGCTCAGCAGACAGGGGTACCTGGAGGGCTGGGGGAAGGAAGGTCGTGGGTAGGGGCCTGGCCTGAGGCCTGCTGGAACATGTGGGCCAGACACCCACACCCCGAATGGACTGGTGCCATTAGACGCAGCGAGGACAAGATGCTCAGGGTTGCACGGGCCCCACTACCCCCAATGGCTACTCGCCTACCAAGTGTAAGGCCAAGAGAAAGGAGCTCACTGCTGTAACCTGGGGTCTGCACGACGCTCACCACGTGTGTGGGTGCCTGACTGTGTGGACAAGAGGGACCCAGGCACACCCTGCTCCCAAAGCCCCGACCAGATCAAGGCTCGGCCTGCCTGTAGGGGACAACACTAGGATCCTGTCTGCTGTCAGTAAGACCATGTGGGAGGCACCTCACTGCACCGCTGGCTCACCCCAGCTCACAAACCCACCAGGCTGACTGGCCTTCTCACAGAACAGCAATAAGGAAGTCTGCTACAGGGAAGGTGCCAGAGAGGGTCCAAGCGCAGGGCCTCCTCCCTCCCCAGGCCCTGTCAGCACCCGAGCCCACGGGGCAGAGCTGGTAGGGCAGCGTGGGCCTGGCTCACCATGCGGAACTGGGCCTGAGCCTGCTGCAGCAGGCTCTCCTGCTCAGACTGCGCGATGCTGACAAAGATGCCGACCTCAGGGCTGAACTGGAGGACGCTGCCCTGCAGCCGTGCCACAAAGTGGCCGAAACTTCGGATGCAGCAGACACGCACCACCGACTGTGGAGAGACCCACACACCACCCGGCTGAGGAGGTCTGCCAGGGCCCAACCCTGCCGCCCGCCCGCCTGCCCGCCTCTCTGTGCCCAGCCATCTCAGCCAGCAAGGTTCCTCGGAGGCCTGTGGTCTGTGGGGAAGAGGGACCCAGAGGCCCAGAGTTTCTCCAGCTGCTAGGACGGCAGACTCAGGATGGTCAGGGAACCAGGCCCAGAACCGTGAAGGACTGGGAGTGATCAGGCCTGGGCTCCATACCACTGCTCAGTGCGGTCTCAGCTCCTCCCATGTGAAACCAGGGAGGGGACGACAGCAACATTCCTCAAAGAATCCCCCAACAAACCCTATGCAGCGCCCCAGAGACAAGCTGAGGGCGCCCAGGGGGAGGGGCTGGCTTGGCTTCTCTCTGCTGCCCCCACATGGCCGTGTGCAAACACTCGGGGCAGTGGTTCCCTTCAGCTCTAAGGCTCTGTGCAGTTGTTCCTCTCAGAGCGACGGGGAGCAGGGGTGGGTGGGCGTTCTGAGGGCACGCACTCCTACAGCAGACTGCGGGAAGGACACTCGGCCACGGTCAGGGAAGAAGTGAAAATGCCTGCAGGCAACACAGCCTGCAGCCCAAAGTCTGGACAGGAGGGCGCCCCACCACCACTACCACCACCTTTGCTCCTGGGTCTGGCTGACAAGCAGAAACATCAGCAGGGGCAACCCCCCTCACCTCCTCCAAGGGGCTGAGCAGGGGCCGATCAGCGTCAAAGTTGAAGCGTCTGTGCGCCGCCCGCAGCGGGGGCAGGTTCCGGAGAGCTGTGTCCTCGGGGAGCAGCAGGGAAGCAGGCAGGTCAGGCAGCTCATGGCCTCCAAGAAGCTCCTGGACCTCAGGACACAGAGCTAGGCCTGGAAGAGAAAGCACCTCAGACCCGCTGCCAGCGGCAGCCCCCTGCGAATTTCCAGGCTGCTGAGACAGAAACACCAGGCCAGGCGGGTGGAGCCAAAAGCTTCGTGCAGCGGGAAGGAGGGAGCTGGCTCTGGAGGAGCATGTGTGCAGGGCGAGGGTGGGAGGTGGAGACAGCAGATGTGCTCAGATCTGTGATCACAGGCTTCCAGGCCCCTCTGCCCCCCAGGGAGCACTCTCCTTAGCTGGCCAGGCCACCTGCCCACAGTGAGCTTTGTTGGGGAAGGAAACCAGACAGGCCTTGACCACAATGACTGCTGTGTGCTGGGGAGGCTGGCAGTGAATCCCATTAACCTCCTTACCCCAAGGGCTGGGTTACCGGGAGGGGGCTGGGCACAGGGAGAGGAAGGCCAGGGATTCACTCACCGGACTCCTGGAGCTCCCCGGCCGCCGGCAGCAGATTCAGCAACACAGACAGACGGTTCCACAAACTCTGGGAGCTCTGGGGAGACAGCGGTACAGGGCCTTCAGCAGGGCTGCTGTGAATAAGCAAGGCACTGCCCTGGGAGGGATTTGACAGGAAGATGAACAAAGAGGGCCTAAGGTTTCATGGAAGACGAAAATCAAGAGCTGGTCCCTTGAAGCAAAAGGCGGGGGAGAATGGAGCCAAAACCCTCCTGCCAGAGCCCACTCCAACTCCTCACGGCCTGTGGGTTTCCAAGGGTGCCAGTCTTCCTGAGCGGAGAGCCTCTCCTTTCCCCACAGAGCAGCTGGTGGTTAGCAGCCCAGGGAGTCCCGCACGCCACCTCCTGAACGCTGCCTGACAAGGAGGCAGTGCCATCCCAGCAAGGACTCTAGCTGGGGTGGGGGGGGTGGGGGCTCGTGATGGAAGAGGGGGCATCTCCATGTCTAGCAGGAACAGCACCTGTTTCTCTGTTTCTCTCAGCTCTCCTGGGACTTGGCCTAACAGTTCTACCTGGGCCTCACCTCCCTCAATGACTAATAAGGACTGGGGACTGTGCCATAGCACAAGAGCACACACCCAAGGGTGTGCCTGACTTGGACTCAGATCCTCTCCCTGGCGGAGGAGGGGCCAGAGGAAAGAGGGTCTTCGTGGAAGGCGCATGCTCCTGGAATGGAAAAACTCGGCATAAAAGCCTCGGGAAGCCGGAGGTCTAGCAGCCGGCCGGTCTCTGCAGCATCTGGCTCCTGGTCATCACACTCCTACCTCCTGACTCTCCTCCAGCTCGCCCCTGCCTACAACACCTTGCAGCCTCTGTCTGAAGATCCGACCTCCCTAGATCCCACGTCCACTGCCATCATCCGCTTCTCCAGCCGCCGTGTCCTTCTACGGACCCCGGCATTAATAGTGCGGACGGACCATCGACTTCAGCCTTGAAACCCACACTTCCGGCCCTCACTCAGTGTCACTCGTGATGGTGGCTGAGGAGCCCTGGCGCACAGTGGGTTATGCGAGAGCCGCCAACCCCAGGCCAGCAGCTGGAACCCACCCGCCACTCACAGCAGAGAGAAGCCCCAAGGAGAAGCTCTACTCTGCCCCGTAGGGGCTGAATCAGAGCCAACCCAGGGGCAGTGGGTTTGGGTTGGTGGCTGGTGTTGGGGACACAGCAGGACAGGAAGCCTGCCCACCGTTCCCAGTCAACGATCGGTATCCCAGCTGCCCTGCCTCCTATGGGTGCCCAGCAGCTCTCCCTGCCTGGTGCAGACAGTGGCAGGGAGCCCCAGCCATGCCCACCCCTGGCCCCCGGGGGCTGACCTGTGCACACACAATGATGAGGTCGGGGTTGGTGCGAAGCCAGTCCAGGAAGACTTTCACTGCGGCGAGCAGGCCCTCGGCCATCAGGACCTGCAGCTTCTCCTGGATGCTGCGCTCGTTGCGGCAGGAGTGCCCGCTGGACTCGCTCCCCTCCGACTCCGAGCCCTCCTCAGAGGCTGAAGGTGGGTGAGGGAGAGAACACACCACAATGAGCAACTGCCAGGCACTTGGCAAAGGGCACAGCCCTGTGGGGAAGTGAGCCCAGGGGGGCCCTGCCTGCTCTTCTGCAGAAGGCGGAGAAACGGAAGACGGGGCGTCACTTCCGGACCCTTGCCCAGCTTTCCCAGGCCCTCTGGCTGGTCACTTTCGGGCCAGGAGCCTCATGCCCCTTTAAACAGGATGCTTTTACATTCAAGTTAATTTGTGAGGTTGGTCTTCCAGCTACGAACTCAACCAACACTTATGAAGCACCTACTCGGTGCTGGAAGGCAGGGCAGACAAATAGAGAGGCACGACGGGGGTGTGGTGTGGGGGGGAGTAGCCTGGAGCTAAAGGAAGCACCTTCAACTCGTTGTTCCTCTACTGGCAAGTCCCTTCACCTCTGAGCACCGGCTTCGTGCTTCATTCCTGAGCCCTCACAAGGCACTGAGATACAGCAGAACACCCACGGACAACTTCATGTCATGCACAGGCAGGAAGAGGCGGAGCGAGGCTACAGCCCACAGGAAGGAAACCTAACCGAGCCGCCCCGGACGAGCCCCAACGGAACGGACTTCTCCGCTAAAAACTAATGAGCAAATGAAAGGCTTGGGCCAAGAGAGAAGCAGGCAGCTCCATTCAGAGGCAGCAGGGTGCCTACCAGCGCGGTGGCAGACCAGCCTTTAGAACAGGGACGACCACACACCCACCACCACACTGCCGTGACTGGCAAAGGGCACACAATGCCTTAGGAAAGTGCAGCCCCACTGATTAAGATCAGAATGAACTCAAAAAGTTTATATTTTTCTAATTATATTTTTTTTAAAAAAGAAAGTGCAGCCTAATTCTAGGCAGAGACTAAACTCAGCATGGGCCCTCCCTCTGCGAGGAAGATTCCCAGGTGCCCAGTGTCATTCTGACCAGCTGCCCTGGTGGGAGGCTGGTTTTTCTTGCTCTCAGGAATGCTGGAAGAACTGGGGGGCAGTGGCGGTTGTGTGGTAGAACGCCCCACGCCCAGAGAGCAGGGAGGAGTGGGGCAGACACAGATCAAGGGAGCTGGGCATGAGGATGTGAGGAGGAGTGGGCCCCACCATGCCACACTCCAGGTCTGGCAGCTAGAGTGGGGATGAGGGGGTGGGGTGGGGTGGGAAGGCAGCACTCACACGGGGGAGAATTCCCTGGCATGGAGGTGGGGAACACAGCAGGGTGAGGTGAAGCCCACGTACCTGGCTCGGAGGGCTTGTCCACATCCCCATTGACACAGGGCTTGCAGCCGGCCAAGACATGAGGTTCCGTGGGGGTCTGGAGAAGCAAGTTGCTGAAGGTGGGGGCCAGTCGGAAGCAGCGCTTGGTCTGGAACATCTGGGTGGACATAGCCTGGAGATTGCTGGCCTCGCTGGGGCCCAGTGGGCCATTGAGGGTCTCGGGAGCCTCTGACCTGGCCCGGGGGGGCTCCAGAGCTGGGGTAGGAGCCCCCTCGTCATCCTCCATGTCTTCGAGGTCTGATCGGGACTCCTGGCTGTTCATCTCAGAGTCTGTCTCCGCATCAAAGGCTGCGCCTCCACCCTCCAGACTCCTGTCCGAGCCGCTGTCTGAGCCCTCACTGGCCCGGGTGGAGTCGTGGCTAGAGTCCGACTCAAAGCCTTCGCTCAGGTCGCTGTCGTCACCGGCTTTGGGTGGATGGCGTCGGCGACGCAGGCAAGAGAGACGGGAGATCTTGCGGCTCTTTTTGCCCTCGGTCCCTTGATGTGCGGCGGGAGCTGGCTCCAGGTCTGGCTCCCCCTTCTCCAGGGGCTCCTTGGACTCCGGTTCCTCTGTGGGGAGAAAGTGCTCAGGAGGTACCTCTGGGGAGAAGCCCCCCCACGCCCTGCCCAGTACCGTCTTCCGCTGCTCCCGGCCCCCCGGCCTGCCCAGGCCCACACCTGTGCTGTCGCTCTGGAAGGCTGGCACGGGGTTCTCGGCCTCTTCCAGCTCTGCCTGCAGCCGGATGTTGACGTGGTTGACGAGGTGGGAGAACAGGGCCAGGGTGAAGGCGATGGCCGCACTGTACTGCTTGGATCCTAAAGCCAGGAAGCCGGGAGTGGGAGGCCCGGGGCCCGATGAGGGACAGGCATCAGCTCCTTGTTCTCAACCCTGCCAAGGGCCCACTACCCCTCAGAGGTCCCAAGGGGAAAGATTTCCCACATCTGACAGCGTCATCCCATCATCAGGGCTCCCACTCCCTCCTGTGAGCACACCCCAAGTCCCGCCTCATCCTCCTTGTACCCAGGCTTCTCCCCGCCCGGCCCCCCCAGCACCTTCGAAACCCAGCCCTGCCTTCACCTTCCTCTCTCCCTACCTTGCTCTCCACACACCTCTGCCAGAAAGGTTTCTAGAACTGTCTAACTGCCCCAAGGACAAGGTGTAAATTCTGTCTGGATCATCATCCAAGTATCCTGACATCTCTCCTGGTCAACGGCGGGGTGTGTATGTATCTGTC